CTCTACGGTCTGTCCTCTCTCTCTCTCTCTCTATCACATACAAGCGGTCTCTCTCTCTCTCTCTCTGTGCTTCTCTCGCTTCTCTCTCTCCCCCTCCCACTAGGCTCGTTCTTCCTCAGCACATCTCCTCAAATGCATGAATCACTCACCGGTTCTCGACTTGCTTTCACTCGATGCTGGCCATGATATTTTTGTGCCTCCTTTTCTTTCGCTGGTCATCTCTCGATTTCCACTCGCCTTCTCTTCGCCGTTCGATTCCACGCCATCTCTAGCTTGTGCTGGGGAAGAAGCATTGCTCGACTGCTGCAAAAACCCCTTGACGCTCCTGCCCGTCCTTTTGGCTTACCTGGCAGCACCCTTCAATTCCAATCTTCTGGACCCTCCCTCGCTGTCAATCCCCCACCCGGAATGGCATCACTCACCATTCCTGAGGGAGGGCTACTATGCCTTCAGAACGTAGACACACCTGGGGAACCCTCTACCGATCCCTGCAGCAAACCCAGCCAGATCATGCAGCTGAATCTGGCTCAATCCACCCTCGACGAACTCGTCCAGAGCCTGCGTAACGATCAGAAGGCTTGTATCCGCCTGGGAAAACACCAATCGTTGCACTACGGGAACAAGTCCCAGACGTTTTTCTCGTCACCGGAGAACCACCGCTCAGAAATCTACTCCTACTCCCCTTCCTCCAACGGAAAAGCCTATTTCACGGGTGTGCTTAGCCATAAGCTGGAGGTGGAGAAAGCTCGGGAGGCTACTGCCGCTACGGATGAGGCATTGGCTACTCTCGAGCAAAGACTGAGTGCTTTTGAGAAAGGGAAGGAATCAAGGAAAACTCCGCTGATCACGACCATTGATCAGATGAGAGCTCTCGGCGCGGGGGACAACCGCAGCGCAACCGGGAAAGAAGCCGCTTCGTTGGCCCGCATGCCAAGAAGCAAGATCGATGTTGAGAAAGAGCGTTTTTTTCAGCAGGCCGCCAACAGATCCAATCCCACTAGCCCAGCCCTTCTTGGTGCCCGCTCCCCCGCGTTCACTTCCGCAGTCACTCCGAAATCTGCCTCTGTTCCCCAAAACAAAGATAAACTTCGCCTCGACGCTCTCCGTGTGCCTCTAACCCATCTGCTCGCTGTCCGGGCAGTCTCTGTCAGATTCTTAGCGCAGAAAACCAGATCGCCCCAGGAGGACTGTTTGGCCCTCGTGCAGAAATATGGTATCGAGAATAGGCTGGATCGGGAGAAGGTACAGTCTAAAGACATGCATACCAAAGATCTTGATATCTGGGGGTTTCCCTACCCTCACAGGATGAACGGCAAGAAGCGATTGAGAACGCCATATCAGCATTTGACCGAATGCGGATTTCGCGAACGGATAAGCTTTGGCAGATGCTGCTTCCAAAGGCCGAGAGGGGAAAGGGTAAGGTCTTGTCTCGGTTAAACCTACACACCGGACCGATAGCCAGATCAGCAACCCCACGCCTTAACATTCAATCCCCTGAAGATGTATCGAAGGAAGGATATGGAACCGGTAACGAATCAGAACGGACGAACGGTTGTTTTACCCCGAACCAGCAAAATGTTACTAGTAAATCTGCGCGACCAGGAGGAAATGCAACGCAAAAGAAGGAATCTTCGATTAAAAATGGCCAGACGAAACGGGCAAGCACTAAAGCAAGAAATACCACATTGACGGGGAGGGTAACGAAGAAGACAGATAAGAAGATGGAGAAGAAATCTTCAGCAAAATCAGAGTCGAAGTACAAATCTGCAGAATTTGTGCATGATTCAGATGAAGATGCGGAAATGATGGATTTCCCGCCTTTGGGATCTTCCACGGGCAAAACAAGTGAAACGGCAGAAACACAGAGCCAGCCGAGAGTCGGCACAACGTCTTCGAAGAGCTTCCCATCCAAGCCCGCTGAAGCGGAAAAGCCAGCCAAAGTGAAGTCTCAGTCCATGAGAACGCTTTCATCCGTTACAGCAACTTCTCGTGCCGCCAATAACAGATCTCCGCAAAAACCGTCTCCACTTGGCTCATCCCCCCCTACGAATGCAACCGATCTAGAAAACGGAATACGATCCTCGAATACGACGCAGTCATCCAGCTCCTCCTCCCCTCTCATGGTCCAACATTCAAGAGCGAAGGCTTCCTCTACACTCTCTCGAACCCAGACTCCAAGTGCCGTTGATGGTGGTGGCCAAAAGCCAGCAGCGAATACCCTGAAACGCAAAGCGGAGACTGAGCGACCCCCCCCCGGCCACATTGATCATGAGCGAAACGGCATACGAAATCCAAAGTCCCGGCCCCAACATCTCCAAACTGCCACAACCAACGGCCGCTCCATGGAGCCGAAGCGGCGTCGCCTTTCCAGCCCCTCGAGTAGTAGCACGACCGGCAGTACCTCACCTCCTCGGAGCCTGGAGATACTTCGCCAGCGATTACGCGAAAAAGCACAGCAATTCAAGCGGTATTATGCCTCCTATCGACTTCTGCACCAGGAGCTGACCAGCCACCCGGACCCACCACTGGGCGAGATTCAGAAACTGGAACGACAGCATGCGCGGTTGCGGAAGATGAAACAGGACATCTGGGAAGAGGATCGGCGGTTAAGGATGGGGTAACCGGCCTGTTTTATGTCAAAGAAATAGACCCCGTTTATTATTGCTTTTACATCCTGTGCTTTATTGACTATCATGCACACACATTATTTATTCAGCCAAACATTATCGAACCTGGGGTTTATTATGCTGGAATGGTATTCTTATTCCCATTTGTTGTTGTTTTTGTTATTGTTATTGTTTTTGTTACGGTTACGGTTACTGTTACTGTTGCTGTTATTTTATTGTTTGTATTTGGCGGATCTGGTTCGCTGCTTGCCACTAATGTTCACGCCATCGTCAAACTTGGAGCCTTACCTCTATGTTGGGTGAGATACATGACATGAGTTTTATTTCTTGGAGCATCAATTGGATAACCATGTGTCACGATTGATATTACTCGTTCTGTCTTTATTATCATACAGCAGAGGCGCTCTATATTGTGCCTGTGTTGTCTCTATACAACGTCTGCTACTTGCACATACTGA